TTGCTGCCTGCTTTGCTCTATCCTTCTCACCAGGGGACCCCAGGCCCCGTCTGTGCAGTGACTGCATGGCGGGGAGACCCAGGTGCTCACTATGGAGCCCGCTGGGTGCGGCCTTAGCACGGCGCCAAGATCAGGCCTGGGCAGCCCCCCACCCCCTGAGCCACCCAGTCCATTCCCAGCCTCCAGGTCTGATGCTGGAGTGTGGAGGACTCGTGCCCGTCTTCCCGAGTCACTCAGCTGCTCCAGTGACAAACACGCCAGAGTCCTGGTGGCTTAGGTCAGCACAGGTGGGTTTCTGGCTCACCCTGTCGCACGGTGGGCCAGCTGGGTGCGGGGCCATGGCCGCTCTGGGACCCGCTGGGGCATCAGGCCACGGCAGGGGAGGAGGCAAGGCGTCCAGCTCTTCCCGTTTCTGCCTCAGGAGCCACTTGCCACTCCCACTCCCATCCCACGGGCTAAAGCCTGGCCCTGGCCCTGCTGGGTTCGGAGTGGGGAAGTCTCACCTTTCCCTGTGCCAGGAGTTTTGGCAAATGGCCTCAGTGACTGCTCTGCATGGGAGCTGCCCTGTCCCTCAGACCGCGCGTTCTCACCACACCGGCCCTCTCTGAGTGTAGCGTGGCCCGTCCTTCCACTTCCTGCGCTGGGGCCGGCGCCCCGGGCTTGGCCGTGTCTCTCACCTGTTTTGCTGAGAGCTAGGCTTTCCTCTCTTCTCCACCTCAGGACCCCACCCTGCTCTGCAGTGCAGGGAGGCCCAGGTTCCGTTCTGACCCCTGCTCTACCCACTGACGGGCCTGCAAGTGGCCCCTCCCCTCTCTCCCTTCCCCCACGTCCTCAACTGGGTGGCACAGGTGCCGAGCCCTCTGAGAACAGCGGCCGGCATCCAGCCCCCATGTCCGCCCCTGGATGCTGCTGCCCTGGCCTCTCAGTCCATTGATTTCCGTGAGCCACTGGGTCACCTGGCGCTGAGTCTGTCTGAGCTGTTTCTGTCACTTTCAACTGAGAAATGCTGAGTGATACACACTCCGGGACCTCATCCGTCCCGGTGTCAGTCATCTGTTACAAGGAACAGACAGCCCTGAAACTCCATGGCTTTGTGATAAAATCCCATAGAAACACACACACACACACACACACACACACACACACCTCCAGGAAGTGCACTAAAATTGATAAAGCCTCAATAACGTCTGTCTGAGTTAATAATGTTCTGAGGGTTCCGGGTTTCGGTACTATGCGCGGTTACGTGGGATGTCCTCATGGCGGGGAGCAGGGTGAAGGGTACTCGAGAAATCCCCACTGTTTTGCATCTTCTGTGAGTTGTAAACTATTTCAAATTAAAAATTTAATAACAATACGGACTTACTGGCTTAACACAACCGTGTGTTGTGTGACACATGATTCTGCCCTTTGGGCCAGGCTGGGTGGGGACAGTGTGTGCCAGCTGGGATGCGGGCACAGCTGGGGGCTGGCGGGCGTCCGTCTCCCCACAAGGCAGCTGGACAGCTGTTTCCTCTTTCCTTGGTAGGCCTGGGCCCACGGGGTGAGAGCGGAAGTGACAAGGCCTCCGAGACCCTGGTTCCGAACTGGCCCCATTCCGTTGGTCGAGCAGTCACGGGCGGCCCGTTCAGCGTTCAGCGGAGAGAGCCTGACGGCAGCTCTGGACAACAGGAGGGCAGACAGCGTGGCACTACTAGCTCAGGAGGCGCCAAGGGTGTCAGGGGGCCGTGGATCTGCCCAGGGCCAGGCCCACCTCCACACGCGGGAGGCTGGGGTGGAGGCTCGAGCGGGGAAGAGGGAGAGTCCACAGATGGACTCGGGGGCCCAGGTG